AGAAACGCTGAGATAAGATGGGCCCAAGAGCCTAAATGGTACTCATCCAAAAATGTCCCCAATCTCAGGATCTCAATTGCACAGCTGGGTTCTGTTGGTCACATGTCAGCTTCAGAGCACATCTGTTCATTCCTGAAGGATCCACTAGGCCCCATGAACACAATGTGCTCTGTGTAGAATACTTTACACCACAAAACCCAGCAGCTGCAGGGGTGAGAAAATCTCTACTTCTCAAGTTTGTGTCTCTAGGCAGTTTGAGTAGGGTGTTTTCTATCTGGCTTTCTTTTGGTTGCTTGTCACTTCTGACATTCAGATGCCTGTTGGCAACAAAGTTGCTTTTACTGTTCTAAGGGACAGATGTTTCTAGTCTGGGAAGAGACAGACCAAACTTTTACTGGAAAGTAGGAATTCTTGCCACATTTAGGCACCCAACCTGAGAAAACATAAGGAAGATCCTAGCCACAGGCTCAAGAATGGAAAGGTAGTCACTGCCAGGAAAATAATGTCCAGATCGGAAGACTTAGTTTCAGCATTTAGGAAAAATATTTGCATCAAATCTTACCATCTCTGCTGGTTCATGATGGCCAAAGAACAACATGTCCCTGGTAGGGCGTGTGAGAAGGGTACAGACACCTCCAGTTCACCTTGGAAAGTGACATTTTTGTATTCAGTATTTCTGAGAACTCTTGGTTATATGTGTGTGAGAGAGAAATTTGCATGTGCTTTTGAAACTGTGTGCATTGGAAAGGTTTGTGTGTTGATGAGGTTAAGTTGGAATACTGTAAGAGTGGTACAAAAGAAACTGAACATACATCAAAAGTGAAGACAGTAAACATGAATGGGTTTGTGTCATAGACTTCATCAATTTGATTTGTAGAAAATTATTGTTATAGATCGAGAATGATCTTATGAAGTCTGCTTTTATAGTCCTCAAAGGCCTCATTGCTAGTTTTTGGAGGAAGGAGTAGTCTTAGGTCAACATGTTTTAAATGAGATGTGAGGGACAAACACAGCTTATAATACTGTAACTAGGTTTTTTCCCCTCAGGAATGTGTCTATATTTATATAGTATAAGCTGTTAAATCTGTACCAATGGCTGCAAATACAGACCACAGAAGCTTCTTTAATAACACACATACACCAAGTCCAAAATGTTCTACTCTGTCATTCATGTGTAAATCAAGTATATTATTCATATACTTCATCGACTTCCTGAATGCGTGCTAAAAATGCCAAGGAAAAACTCGTTAATCGTGACATGGTGACTGCTCAGCTAGCTCTGAAATGTTGATGGAAAAGAAAAATTGTCAAAGGGCCTTTTTAAGAGCCTCTGCAGGTTCCACTCGCAAATCGGAATTCAGAGAACATGAATTTCCTCGTTCAGGAAGGAAGGATTAAAATCAAACACCCTCCAGTGGTTGCATCTAAAAACTGCATAGTTGTCCCAAATGGCTTACTTGTAAAAGGAGTCTTCCTGTGTACCACTGAGGACACAAGATCCAAGCCCCTGCTCAGTCTGATGGTTGCACAATTTCAAAGAAAATTAAAATGATTTTCTATGGACTATAAAATCTCTTCCTATTCTAATGACATTGTCTTGGGTGTTTTTATGTTGAATTCCTTTTGGGGGGGGGCAGAGTCTCACTCTGTCACCCAGGCTGGAGTGGAGTGGCACAATCATAGTTCATTGCAGTCTCGCACTCCTGGACTCAAGCGATCCTCTCACCTCAGCTCCCAAGTAGCTGAGACTATAGGCATGAACTACTATCAGCCACATCTGGCTGATTAAAACAAATTTTTTTTTTTAGAGATGGGGTCTTGCTATGTTGCCCAGGCTGGTCTCAAACTCCTAGCCTCAAGCAATCCTCCCACCTTGGCATCCCAAAGTGCTGGGGGGATTACAGGTGTGAGCCACTGTGCCTGGCCTATGTTGAATTCTTTTAAATGCCAAGGTAAACTAGGTGACTTCCTCCTATCATCTCTTATACAGTGTGTTATAGTCAATTAAAATCTTGTAGTTTTGAGTTGGGAAGTTTTATGGCTTGTGCAAGCCTCATACCCCGTGGTAAAGGAGGACTTTCAGACAGTCTATGATGTACCAAAACAATTAATTGATCTCAATCAATTTATCCAAACAACCTCGATGAGGTGTAAAATACTCTACCACCTGTTTGGCTAAATTGATATAGGGGGTTGATTTGACTGATGTGTCAGGTCGTCAAAATGGAGCTCTAAGAGGACACAACTTTGCATCTTTCTCATTCTCAGGCTCTCTGGGTCTCACTCTCACCCACTCACAGTATCTGCTTCATTCATTACACAATAAGCAAGTGTCATCTGCTAAGTCTTAGGTAAAGTGGATCACCTGTACTCCACGTTGTCTCCATTTCCCTTTCTAATGTGCATAACGGTGAAGCACTGTTTTCTAGGTCAGAACAAAGATAATTATTGTTGATATGTTCAGACATAAAGAATGACATTTTTTAGTCACTTGTTGGGGTTGATAAAGACAGCCTATTGTGGTGCCAACAATTATGGAATGCAAGAAGGTGGAAAGGCTGGCATCACGTTGAGTCCTGTTGAAGATGACTGGACATATGATATTGATTTCACTTTGGTAATGATATTACCTTGATACAATTTAGGATATTATCACTCTAAAAATAGATTTGTGCAGAATTTCTACATTTAACAAAATGTTCCTGGTAAAAAACACATAGAAATCTACTGAGTTAGGCCAAAAATAGTAGAAGAGTGTTTTGTAGATATTCTTTCTAATATCTGAAAAAACAAAAGCAATATACTTACTAGCTCATTCTAAGGACTCAGATTATTTTTATGAATTACCCACATTTTTTTTTCTTTTAGTAGAAAAATCATTTTTAAGTTTCACATTCACCTTGTTAAGGGAAAAGGTCTTTCAGATACCGTCATGTAAAAATTTAAGCCCTTATTTATTTCATTCTCATAATTTCCTCTCGTCTTAAACTAACACTGTTCAAAGTCAACAAGCATCTATGAAGCACATAGTGGGCTTAAGTCTTCTGCTAGATGACAATAGGGGTATGAAGATAAATGAGATACAGTCCCTGTCCTCATGGAGTTTATTATCTTGCTGACTAGACAAGACATAAATAGATGGAAAGCTACACACAATTGTAAACCAATACAAAATATCACAGGAGTACAAAATTCACTGTCAAACAAGTAATTATACACCATGAATTCTAGGGTTGGAGAGATTATTATGGGCTTTTCACAAAGGCAGTAATAAGAAGAAGGATAAATAGGATTTGCAAAGGCATCTATGCAGATTGTAGAAGTGTTTAGCTAAGGGTTATGGATGTTATCCTGTAGGAAACAGTGAACAACTCAAGTTTATTGAACACGGAAATGACATGACCAAGGAGGCGTACATGATATTAGTGGGGCTAGATGGATGGGAGGAAAGATAAGGAAAGTAAACAGATAATCAACATCTCAGGAGGAAGCTAATTAAGGCCTATACTGGGATGGTAGAAGTGAGAATGAAAAAGATGCAGGGGACACTGGATTTGGGAGAAAGACACAGAAGAATAAAAAATGACTCTAAGATATCAGGATGTTCCCTGGGGAATCAATCAATAGAGGATGGTATTCCAACTCACAAAGTCGGGGGAGATTCCAGAAAGAAAACAGTGAAGAGCATGAGAAGAAGCTTGGGGAATTCTTGCATTTGTGGGACAGGATGGACTAATAAATATTGTTTTGTTTCTTTCCATGCACGTGTGTGTGCATACTAACCTGCATACACCAACATACATAAATATACATGCAACGTAAGAAAAGAGATGAACAACCGACACTCAGTTGTTTTTATCTGTCTCCTGTCATTCTGGTGACCATGGTGGACCGCTGATGATCTGCATAAATGTTATTGAGGACCAGCATGATCCAGCAGAGTGAGAACCAAAGTCAAAGAGATCGAGGTTCCACACCCGCTCTACTGTTTGCCGGCTGTCTGATCTTGAATTCTTTGAGGCTTTGTTTCCTTATCTGGAAGATGTGGATGTAAATACCTGCTCTCTCTCTACACAGGGCTATTGTAAAAATGAAGTGAAATAACATATGTGAAAGTATTTTATATATTGTCAAGTACTGGAAATAGAAGCTTTTTTATCTTATTATTATCACGTGTGTTTAAATTAACATGTTCTGATTTGTAGTTACCAGTTCAATCTTCCCCTTTCAAGGATATTAGCAGAGACACATATGCAAATGAGTTCTAGCAATTTTATTTTCCCTCAATGGCATTTTAAGCTCTTTGAGGGCAGGGACCATATCACAGGCTTCTCTGTATTCTCCTTACATTTTACCGTGTACGCACTCTGAACGTTAACAGGAACAAAGTACATATTTTAACTTGAATCTGAATTTATTTGGAAAGGTCAAATGTAGCTTTCAATATGCAGCATAACTTAAATGTAGCATTCAAGCCTACAGTACTTCTTGAAAATAATTTAGATACACAATGAGGGTGTTGTACCCAATGGCCTCATATACCTTTTTTAAGTGGATTTTTCCATAAATCTGGGAATGAGTGACAAGGCATAATGAGTAACAAGATTGAAAGGCACAGATTCATAATTATTAGTGACAATGATTGTAGGTATAAGTAGAAGTGCAATGACAGAAGACCAGCTTTGGAACTGAAACATACTGAAAAGGCTTTAAGTTTTACAGATTTTTTTAAAGGACCGTCATTTTCTCAGAACGCTAAGGCAATATAATAAAAAACACCATGAAGGCACCATTTAGAAACCACACCTAAAATATAAGTGAGAATGCCTTTAAAAAATTCAGATGGTAGAAAGTCAGAACATAGGCATTGGGGAGAAATTTGAATTTACTAAAATCTGTGAGAAACAACTGTCTAAATACTTGGCTCTGATGTTTGAAGCTTTCATGTAACTTCCTAGAAGAAATGGAATGTTTTAAATACAAAACTTGAAAGTACTTACTTCCACTCGGAATCAGGTCCCTTTCTGGGATGAAGAGTTTATATCCATAGTGTTTTTCTAAGACATCTGGCAGTATTTCAAGAGCAAACTGCTCTTCTTCAGGATTGTCACAGTCTAAAGTATCTTGATCCACTTTTGTGTAAGAGAGATAGGCATCATATTCCTTGTTGTCTTAAATATAAAGAACAACAAAAGGGTTGTAAGTATTAGCAGGTTATCTTTAAGTACTAAAAGTCTGTAGATTCTAACAGGCTGGGATAGCGCAATAATTAGTGACTGTCTTTAACAATTGGAAAAAAATAAGTCACAAGCCATGTTCTAAGAAATCTAATCCAACCTTGTCACATATGAACAGAACTCTTATGGCAATGATCCACGTGTAGTCAGAATGAAATAACAGACAATTATTATTTGTGACTTTCAGCGACTATACACATTTGTGATGTTCAATGATGTGTGAATGATTAGCTCAGCGTGTTTGAATGCAGGACTAAATAGGCCAAAGTCATGGATTTGAACCCTTTATGTGCCAGTTGGCTTGGCTCTGTTACTTGGTCACAGACCATACCTTGTTTGCACAAATATGTGCAAAAGATCCAACAGGGGCTGGGCCCTAGAGTGTGGAAGATTGGAATAATCCAGCCTCACTCCTGGAGACACTACTCACAGCACATGCCATACTTCCAGTTGCTTAGTAGAGTCATCTTCATATACAAAAAGCAGTTCATTACCAAATATCGCAGACAGCAGCTGGGTTTTCACACAAGTGCACTGCCTGTTATTCTTGTTCAGTCCATGGCCAACTAATTTGACACAAGCTTCCAAAAGAAGCCTTTGTTTCAAAATATACATCCTTCCAGTATTGCCAAATTAGGTTTTTCCCTTCACACATTTAGTCAGGGAGTTAACTGTGTTTTGGAGTGTATTTCTTTTCCTCCTTTGCTGTATTGGCTTGGAGCCAGTCTCTCTAAAGAGAAAATGTGCATGTATGCATGCATTTTTTCCTGCAAAATGTTAATGAACACAGTTATTCAAGATATTAGTCCCCATGGGTTTTAGAAGGTCACATTGGAAAAGTTACAGTTGGATTTTCAAAATTCCCTTATGTATAGAAAAATTATTTTTAAAAGTTAATGTAGTGAGCATAGACTCGTGTGGAACTATAAATAAACCCAGTTACTTGCAAATAATAATTTTGAAAGACTGGTAAGCGTTTCAGGATTTGTTTCTAAAACACATCACTATTTTCCATTAAAACAGATCTAATTAGAATATAGCTAAAACCTGACCAAAAGGTAAATTATAGAATGAAGCAGCCATTCGCTTACCCACGCCATTACCTACACCATGATTTGGTTCTACCTGCCAAAGGAGGAACAAACTATATACATACAATGACATATAGATACCCTGTTTTAGGGTTAGACAGAATTCCCTCATTATCCACAGATACCTGAGGTAGGATTATGTTGTTTTAATTCTAGTAAGATTTCAGCCTTCGCCACCCCAACACGAAAGGAACTCTAGTTATTTATGTTAAGATGGTGCCTAAAACCAGGAGGAAGGGTTAATACTCTTTAGCATGTCCTCTGGCTGCAGAAGGCTTCCATAAACCTTGGTTGGGTTACTTGATTGCCTAGAAGCAGATGCACATGAAGGACGGCCCTGGATGGTTGAGGAGATCATTTGGCTTACAAATTGGGCACATTCCACTGTTGTGCATAAAATTCCACTTGGAAGTGAAAATGTTCATAAGCAATGCTAATGGAAGAACCTCCTGGTAATCCTAGCACCTCTGCCCCTGTTCCAATCAAGTGCAGGATGCACCTGCAGGCCCTTGACTTTCTCCAGCTATAATTACTCACCTGGGACTCAGAGCTGCCGATGAGACACAGCTGGAAGAATAAAATAGGCCAAAGGACAAACAACTCCATTCTTATGAGCAGAAGATATTTCATTGTTCTTGGTGGATAGTGTTGCTGCCTCAAACTCCATAATGTCAGACTAGACCCTCGTTGCTCTGATTTTATAACTTTCCTATCTCACAAACCTCCCTAAATTCAACTGCTTATTAATTCATTCAACAATAATTTGTTGAGCATTTATTATGAGCTCGCCGTCTGCAATGGCTATCTGACACCTTGACTCATCTGACCAGACCTTCCAGACTACTGTCCCCTTGCTTGTCCTGACTATGGCTATTTGCTCTACAAACATGCCTAAATTTACATAATCCTGGTTCTGTCCTTATTGACTCCACCTATATCCTGATACTGCAGTTCAATGCTACAAAGACTCTCCTACAATAGTATTTCTATATTTGCATATTCCAAACCAAGTTATAACAAAGAACTTGGTTGTCTTTGATGTGTTTAACACTCAACATGTCTGGATTATAAATTTTACCTAGCATTTTAGAAGTACATCATTCATTGGAAAATAGTTGCCTCTGGTTTCAGTCATGTCCCTTTAAGATGAACTAAAGGTGAAGAGCTTATGGTGGCTGGCCAGAGCAGGAAGAGAGCTCTCAAAGCCACCATGTCAGATGTCCCAGAAGCTCTAGGATGCCAGCTAGTGAGCCAGCAGTGACGCAGATGCCACAGTTTAAAAAATGCACTTCAGCCTTATGTAGACAGCCAAGAAAACCTCATGAATAGTTGCAGCTGTTGCTCACAAAGAGGAGCAAGATGGATCAGGCAAAAGCAACAACATGATGCAAATAAGGTTAACAACAAGGCCTGAAAATTGTTTTAAAACGGAAAGGCACTTCAGTGACACCACTTTTCTAGGCAGGGTTAATGAGCCGCCTTCTGTGCTAAATCATGCTGACCAAGCTCATCTGAGGAACCAGAAAGCAGAGCACAGGGCAGACAGCATTATAAGGAAGAGGGCTGGCACAGTGGTCACCATAGGTGTCCTCTTCCAATGAAGAGACACATTATAAGGAAGAGAACTAAACTTTCTATGGAAGAATTTTCCTGTTGTCACACCTCTCCTCCCCTGTTTTTAAATCTGATTTTAATTGTGTTCACCATCAAGAAGCCATTCCTGTTTACAATCCAGTTTTTCTGTAGCTACGCTAAACACAATGCTAAACCCTTAGCTTCTAAAGTGCAAACAAAGACTGCAACCTTGTTGACTATTACATACCTAGTGCCTACTATGGTACCTGTGTGTATGTGCATGTGTGTGTAGTGTTGATCCAGATGAAGAATGTAAGTAAATGTATCATGTGTAGTAGCTGCCACGGAGTAGACACTTAATAAATATTTAATGACTCAAAACCTGAAAGGTTGAATAAACAAAGCAATCATTGTTTGACGGGCTGAAATGAAATGAATTAAATTTAAAAAATGGCTAAGAAGTCAAAGTTTGTTGGATGGATTTTTATTTTATAAAAAATAAAGCATTTTTATAAGAACTTTCAGGAAATACCACTAAAGATATGGTCAAAGGGAAAACATGAAGAAAAAGTATACAGATAAAATTAAGTTGTGTCTATAAGGTATCAAAATATTTAAATGAATAAATGAAACATTTGGTAGATTATCTGGCTGACATTTGGCATTATGCAACTAGACATTTCTAAAAGAATGTTAAAATTAATTTATTCATCCTCATCATATACCTGCTGACTTTTTTGTACTCCATTCAGCTAGTCCAGAGGTTGTATACTTAAGGTCCAAGTTTCCATGTAGGAATATAAAATATTTTAACTCTCCTTGAAGTGCCCTCTCTCCATATTGCATTTCCCCCCAAACAACGGGTTTGGAATCAATACATATTTCTGATCAAATACATCAATACAATTCTTTAATCAAAACGCTCTGTATTACTGGATACCTTTGACCACACGGGCCACAGTGGAGATAAAAATGCAAAATGGAATATTTAATCCCTGAAATGTCCTACAATATTCGCATGAACTTAATCTTACAAATGCATACTACAACTGATCAGTTAGTCTGGGTTATTGGGTATGGGTGATGAAAGTAATTAATTATTGCAGATTAACATAATAAATTCTATCCTGTCTTACAGAGATTAAAAATTGCTTAATCAGGACTCAAAACAAATGAATCATAGGAACCTCCCTTTCATGTTCTTTTATGTAGACAGTACACCATTTACATTCCCAACTGGATACATTAGCCACTTGTTGGCACCTGGGAACCAGTGACATTTTCCTCAATAATATATCCCATCTAGTTATTTTCTGTCATATTTTTCAATATTAACTGTTATACATAGGAAATGAGAGTAATTGACCACATGTTCATATATATTGTTAAGAGTATGTAATAATTGTTGGACAGGCTCTAATTTCTCATTTTGAAGATATTTCTGAATAAGAATCTCTAGTACTTTCAAACAGGCTGCTATAATTGCTGGGTAAATGTGTAGATTCAAAAATGAGCATGCATATATTCTCATCAAAGAGCATTTCTCTAATTTACTGTGAAAACATAAAAGTCAATTAAAATCCACTCATATCATCATTTACAAAACAGTACCAATAAGACCAAAATCAAAGATTCCTCAAAGATTTTGATGTTACATCTATCGCCATAAAAATAAAAACAAAGTAATTAACTCCTTTCCCTTGAGGTAAGACCATCAACTCAAAAAAATAAGCAAAAGCTGTAACATTCACTATTTCAGTACAATGAAAACTAAGTTTTAAATCTGTCTTTTGAAAGTAATTATTTCCAAATTGGACTCTTTTTTAAAATTTTGGCTTACCTATGGCATTCTACACATTTCCAAGGCTTATAGTAGTTTGGGGAAGGAGTGACATGTCATGATTTCTTACTGGCTTTGATTGGAAACTTGGCAATTTCTCTTGAAAAAATGAAAGTTTTACATTTAAATGTTTTAAACATTTTTGAATGTTTAAAGAAATAAGGCTCAGTACAATGCTTTATTGATATTTCATTCATAAGATTTCTAAAAGCCATAAATGGCAAACAGAAGAAAATTATAAGCTACATTCTGAATTTTTATCCTTTGAGGTCACCTCTGAGAATGGTGTTATAAGCAACCAAAATATGTAGGTCCGTATACTTTGAGCTTTAAAAGGACTATCTCCATAACTTTGAGTCTGTTTCTCCCATGATTATTTGTTTTACAGATGGCAGCAATGGCTAAAAATGATCAGTACCTAAATTGGA